TCGTTGGTAAAAAGTTTAGCAAGAGTAAAAATTCGTAACAAACCTTTTTTCACGCCTAAGGTGTTTTTAATTAGATGGCTAATATCATTTCTTCAAAAACACTGCAAACAAGATAGTAGAGATGGTATTTGCATCATCCCTACATAATAGCATAGAGAAGAATTAACATATAGCATTATATATATATATCACAATTTAGTTTAATTTATCCTATTTTTGTCTGTTAAAATTCTACTACTATGCTAATGCCACCCCTACTCTTGTTTGCAAACAAACAAAACGAACCTCTGTATCCACTATCATGATAATTTTTAAGTCCATAATCCTCTAAAATAAAGATATGATATCGATGGAACAGCTGTAACCTCTGTTTAAATTTAACTGTTGAATATTTAAAAAGAAATGTTTTGTTTAATTTAAATACTTCCTCTCTTTTTCTATTTTACGCTTGAAACATAACGCCGTTATCTGGCATGTTTCTCTCTCTATTTGGGCTAAAGTGCCCTAAGAGTTTTTAGGTCACCGCCTCGACTTGAGCTTACCTTCAGAATAAGTTTAATTTAGCTGGTTGACTATCATACGTTTCACTTCGTTACTTACAGCTACGCTACGCTTTAAACAAGAAATCACCGTTTTGATGTAAATATTTGACTTTTGGAGCCAGTGCAATAAAACTTTACAATTCCGTCCATACGTTTTACGAGTTGCTTGAGTGGCAAATGTGCTGAACTGGGCTGTTAATTGTTTTATATGAGCGGAAACAAAAACGCCAACGTATTTTTTTGTACAATAACTCACGTAGAATGTTTCTATTAAAAATAAATACTGAGTGTAACATTTTTTATCCACTTTAACGTAAAACTGTATGGGGAACACTAGCATGGTTGAAAAGTTTTGGAGTCAAACGAGGCTGACGGGTAAACAGTGGATATCGAGTTTATTTTTACAGCGGCCACGCCTGATGTTCGTATTTTTCGTGAACTGAGTATAATGTACCGCTTACCAGAAATATGAAGAGCCAAAAATATCCATTATAAATATAGATGTCAGAGTTATAAGAAGAGTACACTGTATTATAAGCAGTAAGTTGGTTCTTCAGAATATTATTATACAGAAGTGCAACTATAATAGTTTTGTTTTTTTCTGTTTATTTGACGGTGATTTTTATTATATTACTATAACGTGTTTGTTTGTTATTTGTCACATACTGTTAAGTTGCAAATTAGATATAAGAGATTTATTACTTAAATTAGATATTAAGCCCATAATTGTACTTTTTATTTCCTGTTCTTGATCATTACTTATAAATGAAAAGAAAGCTGAGAAAAAAACAGATGATGATCCTGCAGAATATGTAGTAATCTGTACCCCTCCCCTTCCTGGTTTTTGTTGTTCAGTGTCTATATATATAGACACACACAGATAGTTAGATAACCAAATAAAAAAGACGATAATACTGTTAGATTTTTTTTTTCTTTTTGATTTAGTAGGAGAGGCATAATTTGATAAATGTAATAGCTTTACTTTGTTTAGGTATGTCCAATTCAAAGCTGCAACATTAGTATCAGAAGATAATTTCAAAGTCAAGTTTAAATAGCCAACTGAGACCAGACATATTTGTACTCGTAAAAAAAAAAAAAATGTGGTTGCTCCAGGTGGATAAATAAAACTTTCCTAAGTTGTGTTAAATGGTGCAGTTTAAAAAGAGTTATTAACAGTCTATTTACAATAGACATTTTAAAAGACAAAATTGCAGAAGTCTTATTTAATCCCAATGAAGAGTGCATATAATAAGACATCTTAGTGCTAAAGTATAAAGTTACTTCCATTATGTTCTTGTAAACAAGAAATTATTGAAAAGTAAAATTGTTTGAACAAATTCATAATAATAGTAAAAGGAGCAGATGAACTACATAAATATTGGAGTAAACCTTACTTCAGTTTGATATTCACCAGGTTTGCACTCTAATTTCAGTTCAAACTTGCAACAATAATGCTTATGTAAGAAAGTTTATATTCATTAAGCTAGACTATAAAAATAATTGCTTTAAAAAGCCCAATTTTTTTGAGCTATAACAGTTTTTGTAATTTTTAAACAACAATATTATCTGAAAGAATGTTCAAAGTTAATCAACCAACAAAAATTAATTTTATTTCTTTGCACTTCCAACTGTTACTTGAGGTTGTTTTTCTTACATTAATTTATAAAACATAAAATAAGAAAAAATTAATGTTTAGTACTGTGAAATTTTTCTTATTGCAGTTAGTTAAAATTATGAATTAATGTGAACATAATTTTTATTGTAGCTTCCTTATTTTTTTTCATAAACAACAAGGTCAAATAGCTCAACTTAGAAGCACTTTCTTTTACAAAATCAGTTAATTTGTGTTTTCTCTGTGATTTTTGAAAGAAACAGCTGTGAAGTAATTCCCATAGAATTTTTTGTAAAGATCCTTTTTTTTAATTTGACGGAAGTATGTACAGAATTTGGACAGTAAATTTGTCAGAGTGTGTGCTCTATTTGGCTTTATTGTAAAACACAGTGACAAAATGAATTATCTATGCTTTCACGATAATTGTATTGAACATGAGGTAGCTTTATTTAAACTAAAATAAAGACAACTAAAACAGCCTATAATTTTAGTTATTAATTATTATGAAGAAACAACATCAAATAAAGGTACATTTGACTTAATGTTTACTCAGTGAAGTATTTGGTACTAGTTTTAATTTACAAGCATATGCACTGGTCTGCTAAAATGATTGAACAATGCCCCCTTTCTCTAGAACCAGTTGGTTTTATATATAATGGTGATTGATTCTGAAAGTATACATGCAATTGTAATAAAACATCTTCAGGCATTCCCCATTATGTCTAAAATGAACAGTATTTTACTTGAACCTTGTGTCTGTCCATTTCACTTGTGTCTATAAAGTATTTCAGAATGATTTCGTTGTTTTGTTCTTTGCCAATTTAATAATATTTGAATAATTTTCATTTACCATATGCTTCCTTTTTTTTTGCAGTCTTACTTCGTCACAGACTATGATCCCACAATAGAAGATTCATATACTAAACAATGTGTAATTGATGAGCAAGTGGCAAGATTAGACAGTAAGTAGGTCATGTCAAATATTATAATTGTAAGTTAGGGTGATTCTGAAAATTAAGCCTAATTTCAGTTTCGACTAAAATAGTCTCTGCCATTTTATGAACCAAGCATAGATGAAGCTGGAAGTGAAATTTCAATTTTGAAGCTTATTCCAAAATATTTTTGATGGTGGGAGAGTGAACATTAATAAAATATAGTCTACCATAGACAGTAATTTCTGCTCTTCTCACCTATTAACTGAATTGAAATAAGACTTAAAACAATGCAGCTACATTCCAAAAGTAAGAAATGAAAGGTCAATATTTCTCTTCCCTTTCCCCCCAAATGATCTTCATTGGCATCTGAGAGAGGGTATAAAGGTGTCTTGTTATTAAATACTTATACTGTAGAAATAGATAACTTGCTTGTTGGGATAATGCTTCCAACCACATTAAGTTCAAACTTCCCACTCATTATGTATGACATTAAATCAACAATATTTTGTAATCTTAAGATTCTTTATTTAATTTTAAAAAAAAATTATGATATTTCCATTACACATATCTTCATTGTTAAAGCTAATACTGCTACCCATAAATGTAAGGAAAATTAGACCTGCCCTTTTGGGTAATTGCTTTCTTTTAATTTGTTTTTTGTTTAAAACTGTATTATTTAAAACACAGTACTCACAAATTGAATTATATTCAAATTCACTGCTTTACTGTTGGTTAATTATCTGCTCACACTTTTACTTCTGCTTTGTCCTCACTTCCTGTTTACTGGTTAGCCATAAAGTTTCTCTAGTCTCTTTTGCCCCAGTGTTCCAGGAAATCATTTGCCTTCCTAAATATTATACCTTTCTTCCCTCATTTATTCATTAATGAAGGTCTTAATATGACTATATCCTATCACTCTCTCATTCATGTTTGTTCAAAAATTTCCAATTGTACTCAGCATTTTATACATATAGTTTACTGCAAAAATCATCTTTTGGTTAAAAACAAAGTTGTTATAGTTCAGCATTTATCAGAATTGATCTAAAGCCATCTCATAATTTAGTTTGAGTTTGATGTATAAAACACAATCATTTCTACTTTTGAGTAATCTACTATTGCATTTGTGGTGATCTTAAAAGTTACCATTTTTGGTAAAACTTGAGTAGCTTTCTCAAACTTCTTCCAATTGTTAATTAACAGTTGCAGATTGATTTACAATATTGGATACCTTTACATGTGCTTTAGTTTTTAAATACTTTTATTATACTATTTGATTTAAATCTTTGAAGTAACCAGTTTGCTGCAATTGTTGCAATGTTGAAATGTGCATTTATATTATCATCAATTTGTACCAGCTTAAGAATTAAGTAAAATAGAAATACATTGTGATACCTTTTGTTTTTGAATAAACTGGGCTATAACACATTTTGTTTTTCTAAATAAATAGTTTCCATACAAGTTCTGTAATATTAATGCATGAACAAATCAACTCTTGTTGTTACTTTATTTTGATTGCATGTGGACATTTTAACTGAATGTTGGGAAAAGTGATAGATTATACAATGAAAGAAGTGCAATAGAGAATAATTCTAATTATTTTTAGTGTTTGAAATTTGGTTTTATACTTAATATTGGCTACTCTTAAACACAAGTACTGCGTTGGTTCATAAATAAATAAAAATATAAGCACTACTTCTTTAAAACAGTGAATATATTCAGTTTTAAAATTTTACATTTTGTAAATTAACTTGTACATTAATTAATGTGTTACATTGGTAAAAGACAGCAATCAAGTTAATATTTCTTTGGTATGTAGTATTAGACACAGCTGGGCAGGAGGAGTTCAGTGCCATGAGAGAGCAGTACATGAGATCTGGAGAAGGCTTTCTTTTAGTATTTTCTATTACTGACCGCAACAGGTAAGCCATAAATTACAAGTTTGTGTTAGAGTTCTTAAATCTGACTTTTGTACAGGAGTTACAAACATGTAATTCCTTGCAAAATAGTTATGGGTTAAAATTGTCATTAAGACTAACAAAACAGTGGAAATGCAAACACACAGTGCTGAATATGGTAGATGTAGTGTGGCTGACATATTGTAACATATACTTCATTACTTTCACTCATAACTTCTTAGAATTATTAGCTACACTTGTTCACTATCATTGGCATACTGCCTATATTATACTATCTGAAAAATGCACTTAAGATATTTAACTCTCAACCACAAGTAAGCAGATTTTAAAACTTCTGAAATGGACTTACCTCCTCTCACACAAAAAGCTATCTCGATCGTTGTGCAACATTCCCAGCCCTTACCTCTGTCTCTTCTTCGTCAACCTTGATCAGCCATAGTTCATTCCAACATCATTAAACTCCATCTTCACACATGGTTTTTATCCAGTCCCTTGCCTCAGCCCAGAGTCTGACTCCTCGTGTAGTGTCTTTCCTTTTCTGAACCATCATTCCTTCATCTTTGACTGTTTACCAATGGCATTGGTCTACCTTTCAATGTTGTCTCTTCATCATGACTTCTTTTCCACCCATTCTTCTTTTCCTTAGCTTTCCCAATTCTTCACCTGTTTGTTTGACCAGGACTTGTCTGTTTCAACTACATCCACTTATCAGGCAACCCTATCTAGCACCTTCCGTTTTTCTCAGTTACGTAATGTTTTCTCATCCCCTGTCATTTCCCTCCTTTTTCGTTCCTTCATTATTGCTTGTCCACCATGTCCCTTTGTTTTACTGGATTGGGATCTTAATGTGGTCCTTTATTTCCTTTCTCATTCTCCGTTTGAGCCACTTGGTATGTGTTCCTTATACCATCTTTCTCTCAAGACCTCATTTCTTCTCCTCCTTGCCTGTGGATGCTGTCATTCCGATATCTATGCCATTAATGTTTCTCATACCCTTTACCATTCCTCTTGTGTGCTCCTCTACCCTGCCTAAAACCCTAGACAGCCTGGGAAGGTAGTTTGTCTTTCTCACCCATTTCCTTACTTTTGATTTCCCATCTGTACTCCCATTCCAATTTGGATAGGCTTCTTTGTTTTGTTCGATCCTTGAGGGGTTATATGGCTGATACTGCCTCCTTTTGGGGTTCACGTCCCTGACTATTTATTCCTTGAAACCCATCTGTTTCCTGTGATCTGTCTCCAGTGACTCTCACTGGCTGGGTTTGTCAACTCACCAGGATGATATATTTGGACTTGTCCATGGAAGGTCACCCTCTTCACATCAACTTCATAACATTACCATGTATTTAAGTGCTGGTCATTGCCTCCCCTTGGAAGAAATCACCCAGGCTGGTATTTGGACAACTTCCAATACTTTTGTTACTCATTATCTGCATGATCTGGCTGTTTCTTCCTTTGATGAATATCATCTTCTTCCCATGGCAATTCTGCACATTTCCATTGACCTTTAACTGTTGTAAGTCTGCTCATTTCCTTTCTTTTATGTTTTTATCTTCCCTAAGCTTCTTTTTGGATCCCACCTTGTGGTCGGTGTTGCTTGGTCAGATATGCTTTGTGTCAAACCCACACTAAACACAGTAACTATATAATGCTCACAATTGAGATGGGGGGTGTTTCTGTAAAACCACTGGGTGCTTTCCCAGTGATTTATATGTATATCTATATATTATAATCATATCTTTCATGGACTGTCACTCATGACTTTATGAATAAAGCAGAAGGGGATTTCTGCCCATCCCTCCCCAACCCTTTGATTCTTTAATTGGGTTTGGTCTGCTTTTCAAAATAGGGAAACACAGTCACCCATTGCACTGTCTCCTGGGTGACATTCCTCCAGACTCCCCACCAACTTTTTCTTCAAGTGGAGCATTGGAGTCCTTACCACTCTGTTACCAGCCACTGGTGTGGTGAACCATAAAGGCTTTCTTCTGAATGTTGCAATAATTATTCTCATTTATCCACTCAGGAGAAGAGAGCAAAGCTGGTTCCCTACTGGCACTTCCCCCGGATGTTTTCTGCCTGGGCGGACCGCTCTGAATAGACCCAATAATAAAATATTATTTGGGGCCAGCCTATGTTGGATCCTCCTTGTAATTCCAGTTTCAAGATGACAACGCTCTGTTCCAATGGTTGTGTGCAATAGATGCCTCTCTTCTCATTAATTTCAGTTGCAGAAGATTCTTTCCTGCTTCTATGGTTGGGTTTGAGAGACTTCATCTGTTTCATAATACCAGCATAATTCCGAATACAGGATGTCTCTACCCAGCATTTGGCAATGCCAAGATCCCATAATGCCAGGTTCAGTTTGTTGTACTTATTGCTACCACAGTGGTTTTGAAAGTTTGTCTGGTTATGACTCTTTGCTCACTTCCTTTTTGTAATTCCAGTTGCTTGATGCCCAGCACTCTGTTTACTTACAGTTGGGGCTATTGGATGTCAATAACACGGTCCACATGCATAGTCGATTATCATTTCAACAGCAGTGGTTAAAAAAAATATTTAAAGTCATTTAGAACTTTCCTTCAGTTATCTAATGGTGAAAAAATTATCTGACAACAACAGTGGTAGACATTGTGTTAATGGTTTCTAGTCCTTAAACTTGAAGCAGAATTTGTATATGTATCTTATATTCATCTAGTCCATATGCAGTTTGATATTGACTAGATTCACATGCAGTGAATTGACTGTTTCATAAGAATAGATTTAAGTATAAGAAAAGTGAAATATTAATTCTTGAAGTTTTAAAATCTTCAACTCTTCAAGTTGAATTTGCCACTTTCATTCATTGGCATATTCAGACCTTTAGTCATCATTGTAAATAAAATGGATATAATTCTAAGGTTTTTGATTAGTCAGCTGTAAAATGCTTCATTTGGAATTGGATTTAATTTTTTTTTCTATTAGGAATGTTTCCTTGAGAAAATAAAAAGTGCAAGTTTAACAACAAGATGTTAAATTGGCCCTTATTCTCTGAACATTAAATAAGCTTTAGTATGTTTTAAATATAGCATTATATGCCCAAATTAATTTCTTTGGTTTCTTTTTTTCCACCCTTATTTCTCTACAGATCCATTCTTCTTGCTCCTTTTACAATATGTATCAAGTACTTGCATAGTGTTTCAGAGTTGTCCAATAAAAAAATTGTCTATCTTTCCCAAAATATTTTTTTTGTATTGATATAAAAAGTTATTGTTTGCAAAATTCATCTTTATTTTTTATCACTAGAAAAGATGTTTTTGAATATCTGAATTAATCAATTCCAAACTACAGATAGAGATACTTCCTGAGTAGGTGTCTAATAAGTAAAATTAACCAAAGAACTAGCCAGTAATTACAGATTTTAATTTGTGCTTTTCAACATGCTAAATAAATTTTTGCATTTTGAATGAATTATTCATTTTAATAATGGTTAAGTGATGAAATGCTATTTGTTAAAGAGATTTGTTTTTGCAGATAAATTTATCCCTTTTTTATGTTTATGTAAAGATAATGTTGATCCTTTCATTTAAACTTTTGATTTTTTTACACTTTTCTTTGTAAATAATTTTAAATATTAAATAATCTTCAGAAAGTTTCCATATGTGGTATATAAAAAAAACTATAAAACTCACTATCATACTGAGAAATAATTATATATATTACTTTGGAGAGATGGGAATTACCAAAGAATCTTGTTTACAATATAAAATTTTACTGAACTTTTTGACCTTTTCATTAAATAAGGATAAAACTTGCATAAGTTGCATCTATGTAATATCTTTACAGCTATGAAGAAATTTACAAGTTCCATAAACAGATTTTACGGGTGAAAGATCGTGATGAATTTCCAATGTTGTTGGTAGGCAACAAGTGTGACTTAGAACATCAGAGAATGGTAATTATTGTTTACAGTTGCAACAAAACTTAATTGTTTGCAAAATGAGAGAGAAAAAGAGATACAGATTTTTGTACATAAACTCTGTAGTTTAATGTAATAATTATAATTTAAAGAGGATTATTTCTCTATTCTTTTCAGTTTAACTGCTCAAACTAAAGTTATAAGTGTTGTTGAATTTTTATTAATGATTAGCTTACAATTATTGTAAACATATTTTTATCAATTTTTTGCTTTAACTTAAAACATTGTGATGTAACATAAACAGCACAACTTACTATAAAAAAAGCATTGTGGGGTAGAAGAGAAAAATTAGTTATTGTAAATCCAAATGTTCTATGTACTTTTTAGATTTCAGATACATATAAGCTAGTTCTATAGGTCAATTAGACTAACTAGCTAATAATAAAAGGCACTGTTCAGCTTCTTAAAATTTAAGATATTAGAGTTTTTATTTAAAACATTTTGTAGTTACACTGAATGTAGACTTTGGAAGACACTAAAGATAGAGATTAGTAACAATAAATGGTAATACACTCATCACAGTAGAGATAGAGAGAGAGAGAGAGTAAACTGAATATAAAAAGAAAAAATGCTTAGACTAGGGACAGACATTGAAACAAACTTAATATGATGATGATGTCACAGTAATGAATAATACAAAAACTATAAAAGTATATTAATCTATCTACAACTAAGATAATGGAAGAAAACATTAATACAATAGTTCATCTATGCATTTGATGCAATTTTAGTTTTAAAAAAATTGTAGTCCGTAACAAAATGAGCCTTCACATGGAGAATGCACAAAAAACTAGCAATAAACGTTGAAAAATGGATAATGTAAAAAAAAAAAAAAGTTTTTTAGAAGCAGAATTGTCTTCCAAATGTTGGTTAGCATTGTGTATCTGATATAACTTGTAACTCTAAACATTACATGTGCAAAATTATATGAACTTAAATTAATGAATTATTTTTCCATCACATTTTTTTTTTTTTTATCTGAACCACTTATGAGAAGATAGCTTCTCATCATCAGATAAGAAAGAAACAAACAAATGTAACAAAATGTAATTCAAATGACCTTTGGAATAGTGGTGTAGTGTTCAAATTAGAAATGAGAAGTAACCATGACCTCTCCCCCTCTACCTTAACAGAACAGTTAATCATCAAATTGTTAATGTGTTTAATAATTCATTAGAAATTCAGACAATCAGACAAGGTTATGTTACTGTAAAACAACAGTAAATGCATAGTCAGAGAGCTTTCAGCTAATGATAAAACTTCATTTTATATAAAATGTTCAGTTTGAGAGGATTCATTATAATCCTATTGATCAACATTTAAATATACAAGAAAGTACCACAGAAAACAATCCACACCCTCACTGCCCTGTAGAACTACATATGACAAGGGATGATAAGAAAAATCTGAAATTGATTTTCCAGCCCCAGAAGTAATCATAACACAACCATTTTTGACAAAAATTAACTAAAGATCAAAGATTTGCAGGAACCTGCCATTTAGAATAATATCAGGACACACTTTGTCTAATCTCTTTACATTGCTTTAGTATGTTTATATACAAACAGTGCATTTTTGTAATCATGCCGTGTGCAAATTTCCACCTGGTGACACAAATACTAACATACCACAATACCTACATCCTAGCCAGGCATGACCTGGTGGTTAAGGCACTTGACTTGCAATCTGTGGGTGCTTATCCTTTCATCTGTGGGTCGTTATAATGTAACGTTCAATCCCACTATTCGTTTGTGAATGAGTAGCTCAAGAGTTGGCATTGGGTAGTGATGACTAGTTGCCTTCCCTCATGTTTATCACTGCTAAATTAGGGACAGCTAGCACACATAGTCCTCATGTAGCTTTGCACAAAATTCCAAAAAAAAACAATACCTACAACCTGCAGTTTTCTCTTATTTATTACTTTCTACCAGGTTTGTGATCTCCAAGGACACTCCTTAGGATGCAAGTATACAGAGAATCTATAATAAAAATTATAAGATACAATCTTTCAACTAAATATAAATAACCTGAATTAAACACATTGAACTTTCGTTGTTTTGCTAATACATTTTCAATCTATTGATCGTACTTAACAGGACATAAAATAACTAGTAAATTAGACAGGTTGGAAATACTTCAGATTTTTTGTGGACTTTTTTTCTTTTTGCGCAAACATCTCATTCAATTTACAAAACATTTTAGTACAGAACCTTTGAGTTTGAGGTTGTGTTGAAGATTGTTTATGTAACGTCGTTATACTTAAGTACTTCAGATGTGTAAAAATAGTGCTTGCTGTCTTGAAGAAAATAAACAAATTATGTGCATTATGTCAGACTTCAAGTACATTTTACTTATTTTTCTTCCACTTAATGAGAGAAAAAAATAGTTTACTTATGCCTATATTAATATCTACCTTAAAAACATAAACATGAAGCTGAGAAGTTTTGTATTTTATCAAAAATAATTTCAGGTGTCACAAAACGATGTCCAGCAAATGGCCCACCAGTTGAAAATACCATACATGGAGTGTAGTGCTAAACACAGATTGAATGTAGATGCAGCATTCCATGACCTAGTCCGCCTTGTCAGGTATATATATTTTTTTTTTAAGTAAGATATGTGTTAATTTTTATTGCATTTAAATGCCTTTCTTGCTGGACAAAGTGATTTATAATGAAGCAAAACAAATTTCAGCTTTTTTTTTGTAACATAATCAGGGCTTTTGTCACTTTGTTTTTAATTTGTGGTTTGATTTTCATTCCATTTAATCAGATACAGAATCTTTAGACATAATGTTTTGAAAAGGGAAAAGAAATGGTTGTGTTGAGTGTAATTGTTAAAAAAGAAAAAAAACACTCTTATTCGCAATTAATAATTCGCAATACTGCTTTGAAAGTCTATCAACATCTGAACAATATCATTATATTGTCACGTTATGACCTTAAAAGGATAAAATATCCCTTTCATGTATTCAGTCAGAACTGAAACCTAATACTAAAATTTCATGTTAAGTTCTCTTATAAAACTAATTATACATAACATTTTAAAAAAAGAAGCTAACAATTAACACCAGGTGGTAACATTTAATTAAAAACATCTGTTACGAAGCATTGCCACTTAAAACTCCAGGTCACCACATTATCAGCTGATAACAACAAAAAAGGTACTTTCTGTTTTGATCATTAGTCAATGGAATCATTGTGAACAAAATATGATATTTGAGCTAATGCAGAGTACATAGATTTTGAAAAGGTTTTGGATTTCCTTGTTTTCTTTTCTCTAAGATTCTTTTCAGATTTTGCATGATTTTTGTGTAGTTCCTTTTTTTTATGTTATTACATTGAACATGTATATTACCTCATTGATGATCATGCCACTTAAGTTTTTACTTAGCATATATGAAATATTATTCAAATCTTCATTGTAGTAAAACTGTGTGAAACATGCAAAACAACTAGATCTTTTAAAATGCAACCTTTAGTTATCTTGTCATTTCAAATTAGAATGTGTAGTTTGTTTCATACCATCAGATGCTCATACAATGTATGCATTCTTCTTTTTTATTTGAGTAAACATCTAAAAGCAATAGATTAAATCAGTGCTCAGGTATTATATGCTTAGCTTTTTCAAATGCTTATGTTGTTAGAGAATAAGCTTTGTTTCAAATCTGTTGAACTTATTACAACAACAGTTAAAAGTTAAGAAGACCTTCGTCACAACAGTTTGACACTAGTAAGAGATACATTGGCGAGATATTTGCTTTAAAACAATTATGAAAATTACAAATATTTTGGCCAACTGTGATATACAAGGCCATAACATTTTATTTTTTGTCACCAGAAACATCAACCTTGCATTGATATTTTGTGTAAAGAAACCTGGTTTTAACTACAATAAAGCTAAAGATTTAAATTTTATCAGTCCATATATTATGTTACATTAGATTTAATTTATATTGATAGGTAATTTAAACCATAAGATTTTCAGTCAGTGATGTATAGACTTGCTTCCTAATTTCTAACATAGTACACTAACACTGGCTTTTAGCAATGTCTTTGTGGATGTGGAGGGTCACAGCATTGTTTTCCTGAAGACAGTTTTCTTTTACTTAAAGTAGAAGTCTTAATTTATGTGTGCCACTTATGTTTCTGAGCTTAAATTATAAGAACATATGCAGCAAACAATGTAGTTTTAGTTATTACAGCAAGTTTTAAAGATTGAATGAATAAGTTGAAATATAATAGGTTTTTTTGCTTTGATATTGAATTGAATTAGTAATTGTCTACTCCTGATTTAGTTATGTTTCTTTTTAAGTTATTATTTCATTTTCTTGGTGTATATGCTATAAAAAATATTTGCTTTTAATTTCCTCTGAGTAAATAATCTCTATTTTTTGTTGTGTTGTTTTCTCTACACTTCATTGTTGTTATTTTATTTGTTTGTTGTTGTTTTTTCAACTATATGTCAGATCATTAATGACATAAAATTAATGTGTAGGCTGAATGTAGCATAAAAACTGTGGCATTGTTTGTTCATTAACACATATCAATCCTTGTATTTGTTTTTATAATATAAAGTGTTTAATCATTTGATTTTATTGTTTCAGGAAGTTTCAGGCGGCTGAGAGACCTCTTGTTAAAATGTCCAAACCCAGCAATAAAAAAGGGTGTTGCATTATTCTTTAGCTTTCTTGTTTACCTGCTTGCAACAAGACTTTTGAGACAAAATAAAACACACATACTCTCAAAAGTGTTTTCATGTTTCACAAAATTCCAAGCAGCTGATTTTTTTTTAACTGATGCCTCCACATATACTTTCATATTTGTTTGTCTTTTTTTATTCTTTGCATATCTCGGTGAAGTGGAAATCAAATTCATGATAGAGTTGTCTAAATGTTATGTTTACATCTACAAGAATTCTGATGTTTGATTTTCTTTTTTTACAACCTACGTTCTCTGATTTGTTTTTTTTCTATATGATGTTTAAGAGTTGAACTAGTTAGACTTGAAATAAATGCTAAAAGTATATCTCAGTAAAAATTGAGTTACTTCAAAGTAGTTCCATATCATTTAAAGGTAACTTTTATATATGAAAATTATTTTTAAACTTAGTGTTGAAAATAAGCTATGAAGAAGGTAAAATTATGGTTTTTTCTATTCAGTGTACAGATAATCATTTAAGTTATCATAAAAACATTTTAAGTAGTATGTGCATGTTTGATAAGTCCAAGTCTATAAGTATAATTTTACCTTTGGAGCACTCCAATGTGACAAAAAAAAGTTAATAAATAATTTTCAAAATCAGTTCTCATGGTAATATACACATAACATAGTTTAAACAATTTATACTACAAAAAAAAAAAAAGATGTAATAATTTGTTTAAATGCAAGTCTTTGTAATTATTTACTAATTTCAGTCTCATACTTTTTAACATGTTTGATATATTTCTGAAAGTTTGTTTTAACTTTAGTACCAAAAAAATTGAGATACATACTCAAAACCATAAGAATTGCAAAGTTGTGTCATTTATGTTGGATAGTTTTTAGTTTTAGTTCTTCTCCATTCTGCAATGTCAGCAGTCCATCTAAACTTGTCTTCGTTCAAGTTGGGATAGTAAATTGTATAACACTTAAAATATATGTATGAATATTTGTATACACAAGTATGTTTTTACCATAGTTGTTTTGTAGATTCTTTGTAAGATAATGTGTATCAATATGAAAAATTTAGGAATTTTATTGGTCTATTTTTGTAGAAAATAATCTTTACTGACTTCTATATCTTATTAAAATTGATATTTTTACTATCACATCCATGTTTTGATTTGTAAATAAAAGCACTAGTTAAAGACAACTCTTAAAAGATTGTTCCCACAAATGGGATAGTCATCTGCAATCTTGACTAGAAAGGGTTCAGTTTATAGCATCAGTTAAAAGAAAATAGAAATTAATGTGTCTAAGAAACATACTAGAATTTATGAAAGTCATTAAATCAGAGTTTCTGGAATATTATGTAAAACAGGGTGCTGATTATTAAAACTTAAAATATTCAAAGTATCGTACATAGAATACCTTAGTTTGATAAATTTTTATATTCATTTTAATAGAGTGAGCTTTAGCAGCAGTTCCTAACCACTGGTCCACAAGACAGTTTAAAAATAAAATGCATGTTTTGAAAGTATAGCTGCTGAAGTATATTGTGTTACAATGTACTATAAAAGTTCTTTTAAAAAGGTTTATTGTACAAACCAATCCATGAAATTTTTGCATCAGAACTAGCTCGTTCTCTCCATTGGAAAAGGGGTGGGAACTAATAAGCTATAGCAAGTCCCCACTCCAATAGATACAAAGTATATTAATTCTGTTGTATTTCATGCTACTTTCCTTAAAGACTTTCATGTTATGCATATATTGATAATGGTGGCGGACACTAAACATTTGTAATGTTAACCATAAAGAAAAGTTTATTGAGTTACTTGTAATTTCATTTTTTTTATTATTATTATTATTTAGAGATTTTCTGTTGTCCACCTTGAATGTTACCAAATAAGATCAGTAGGTGGTGGAATATATATTACAGTGTTACTCATAAATTTCAGCCATAATGGGTAACAAAAATTTTATAAATGTAAATAATGTAACATCATTTCTTTTTTTGTCTTGGTAGTTTACAATATGTCATTTTAGACCATTAACAATAAAGTGTTGAAATTATCAATAGTGGTATTAGACTGTTTTATCGTAGTCTTAAAGAACAGCTAAGTCTATTATTGTGGGATGTTTTAGATTATACATGCAGTTAAAACGTCAGTCATCATACACAATTAATCAAAGTATAGGGTTATTAATTGTAAAAATGTAGTCTGTTGGACATGAAAGCTGCCTCTTACTACACAATTATTTTTTCTTTTTAAGCATATATTGAGGAAAGTATAGCTAGTATTTTACTTAATGATGTTTTGAGCAACTTCTTCGTGCTTAATGAAAATGAATTATCTTTGTATGGTTCAAAAGGAATATATTCATGTGTAAAACGTACCACTTATGATAATGTATACTTAACACTAGATAAAAATATTAAACTAAATCTATGTGATACAACATAAAAAATATAATACATATACAGAAAGAACTAAGAATCATACCCATACACACAGGCCTGGTGGTTAGGGCACTCAACTCGCAATCTGTGGTTGTAGGCTCCAATCCCATCACTGAATATGTTTGGACTTTCATCTGTGGGGGCAGTGTAATGTAACAGTAACCCAAGAATTGGTGGTGGATGATGTTGATTAGCTGCCTTCCATCTAGTCTATCAATTCAAAATTAGGGACGGCTAGCACAGGTAGTCTTCGGGAAGCTTTGCATGAATTCAACAAGAAAATACACAGACACGTAAACCAAATGGAGTACTCATGGAAATTAAGGTGGGTCCTTCATGTGCTAACCTGTTTGTTGTTTACACTGAAGAACAAATTTATAGTAATTTTACTTCCCCCCCCCCTCCTTCCCATAATTGTCATGTTGATGACATTTTAAATTTTGTAACATGCAATAAAGAAGCCTTTGAACAATTTATCTTTCATGTCAAGTCTTTTTACACATCTCTTAAATATACACATGATATTTCTGATCAATGTATTTCATTTCATTTCTAGACATTGACATAAATGTTTCTGATAAAACTCTTGAAACCACTGTATGCTACAAACCTAACTACAGTCAGGAAGTACTTCAGTTACAAATTCTTCCATCCAATAGAAACAACTAAAAGTGCCTTCCCCATGAGCCAGTTCTTAAGGCTTAGACATATCTGCTCTAATAACCATGCTTTATAATTTAAGTCTTATGAAATAACATGCTTCTTCAAAAAATAAAATTTTCCTGTTAATCTAGTATCATTAAAACATTATTTCAAGAAAGTGTGACCAATTATAATGGGTGAATTGCTGGAACAGTTGTCATTAAACCTGGCATGTACCATGAGGTCTACAGAAGAGTGATGAGGGGGTCAGAATTTGGATAAGTCACTCACCAAGGGCCCTATGTTTTCTCTATACATTAAATGGGTGCACCAGCTAGTGTTATTGAAAAAGCGAGAAGTAATGTCATAGATATTTCAATCTCTCTGTAAGTATTCCCTCTAAACCTAAAACAACCACAACTTCACTCTTCTAATGAAGAACCCATTTTCTAACATTTTTACTAACCTACTCCTTATATTTTTCAAATACAAGTATTCAAAAGACTAGTTGATACACACAACTGACACAGATCTGTTGCCTGGTATAAAACCAGGTCAACACATCATATGTTTCGCATGTAAGTATACTAATGACACAACAGCTTTGTCCATGCAAAATTCACTTACTACATAAAGGGTCACTTCACTCATAAGTTACAATTCCTCATTGTATTATATCTGCTGCACTAAATGAGGGTCTTTATACATTGGAGAAATATCAAAACTGTTTGGAGATATGTTTTGCAAATGTCAGCATCTCGACATTTAAACTCTCTTACCCATAACAGTATTGAAGACACGACAGTCTTAGTTTTTACTCATGCCCCACAGACAGATTACAACATGAAAGCTTAGAACAGAATTTTATTTTCTATTTATATACTAAATTTCCTCATTGTCTGAACAAAAATATTTCCTTCAAATAACTGATTACTCTGTTGTATCTTAATTTGCAATAGCTATGTATGTAATTTATATTTGCTTCTTTTTTGTTTCTAACAATGAATACTACTATTTGATAGTACATGATATGCATTTGTATCTATATTTACGTTAATACATACATGTGTATAGTTCTGTAAATGTGTTTTTCAACTATACTATATTGTTTATGTTGTATCTCGTGGTTTCAGTTTAATTTTTCTCTAGTGTTAAGCATACACTTACTAAGAACGTGTTCCTTTTCAATCATGCAACAGTTGTTCATTCTCATATGGAACCTGATGAAGAGCAGATGCTCAAAACACTGTCATTCAATAAAATTATTTTTCTTTTGTGGACTTGTGTTTTAGAAAATACTTTTGTTTACTAAGTATAAGGTTTTTAATGACTCAATTATTTTACTAAATTTATGTAGATCACTTGGTCACAGTAGAGTTTAATAGTGATTTTGATTCTATATCTGTGCTTTTGAAATGCTATAAGAAAATTTATGGTAAAGAACTTTTTTTTTAAGTGTGTTCTCTCAAAGACTTTAAGTTAAACACCAATGTGTATTTTTCAACAAAGAATGTCTTGATCAAGTTATCTTGGAAATATTACTTCATCACACTGGAAATTGCCTTTATTGCATCCAAATGATTTTAATATCTTTGATGGACTTCCATTTCTCTGTTATATACGACCTTATGGCTGTGCTTTATTAAACATGTTCGTGAGGTGATGTTTGATGTTCCCTATTTTAACTTCTATGTGAAATTATCAAGTTTCTGGAATTGTTTAGGTGTAATATCTTGTATTCATCAACTATGATCCTATTCATATAAAGCTAAAAAAGGATTGTTTTTTTAGCCTTTTTGAGATGTTGTTTTTCAGCTGATTTATTAGTGTAAGAACGGTCTTCATTGTCTGAATGCACTTGGTACTTGCTGTAATTAACTATATGGAGGAATTTTCAAAGTGTTCTCAATTTTGGGAGATAAAACTAGATGTGAGATAATGTAGAAGAGATTTAAAAATTATCTCAAACTCCTTACTAGGTATTACATTTTTCACTCGAAATACACCATTGTTTTTACTTTTCCTAATTGGTAAGGTATACTAAGAAATAACTACTTAAATGCTGTTTCTCATGTTCAACATACAAAAGTTGATGAGTGATTTAATTTTCAAACCATCACAAAAATAATTATAATAACTTTTCTATATTTAATCAATTATTTTTTTAACTGATTGATTGTAATTTCACTAACCATGTCAATAGTTGTAACCATCATTAACTTAATTTTAATCAGAAGAATGTTTGTTCAAAAGAGAATTTTTTGAGAATGGTTTTCGTTTGTTCGTAGATTATATGTGTAGTTGAATTTCAGTTTGATTGTCACCCTCATTACAAAGGAGATGGATATGGTACAGTTATTGAAGGGAAACAAGAAATTTATAATCCTCTCGTACTCAAATATATACATCAGTTATTTCATGGATTATTCAAGATTATAAAAATAAAATATCTTATGGGTTGTTTTGTTTTTCTAATATATCCAAAGAATACGATTTTCATCATTGATGTACACCGTAAAAGGGATTAAACGTGTTTTTGGAATACAGTTTTTTTAGAATCTTTGATAAGTTATTTTTAAGTTTCATTGATATTTTTCCAACAGTGTAATGATAGCTAGCTATAATTTTTCTAAAGCATATACTTTTACACAAGTGATTACAAATACTAAAGATGTCTTATTTTATAGCTCCATCATGAGAACTATTCTTTGGTCAGACAGATGTATCAATTAGTTTGATAATTTTTATCAGTAATTCTTGGTAATCATATTTATACTTTCAAAAATTGCTGTTTTGAAATAATATATTGTCAACTTTGGCTGTATGTTTAATTTATCATGTAAAAAGTGTTACTTTTCAGTTTGTCTTCACTTTATGCACAGTGTAACACCCTGGTGGTGTCTTAAATAATTGTTATGATATAAATGTGAAATAACTGAAAATTGACACATTTTTTATTATTTTTTTGTGAACCATCAAACCAACATATCACAAATAACGTTGATAGGGGAAAAAGTGATAGATCCGTTTTGTAATAGATAAAAAGCTAAGAGTGCCTTTCTATATCTTTGTTTTGGTATTAACACTATTTTTGTTAATTTGACAATAGGTAATTGTTTTGTAACTTAATAATATTTCACTTCAATTACAATTACTTGTACTACTAAGGTAACATTAAGGTTCATTCATAGTAGTTTAACTCATTTAATGCATGTTAAAAAAAAATTCCCACATATACTGGTTTAAATGTTGTTACATTGATTGTTATAGGAATTTTATCATTATTTATTATTGTTCGATTAGGTTAGTTCTTTGAGCTTCTATGGTCTTCATAAGTTGTTGCTAGAATCCTTACATTTACCTCTTAAAATAAAAGGGAATTGTTGTGTAGAGTTCCAAGCCAGACATTTTTTTTGTTTTTGCTAAAGAAAAACTTAGATTGTTCAGATTATTGACTAAATGGCTCAAACGTATTTATATGCGAAAGCTATATTTTCAGTGAAACTACTTATTTATGCTTGTAAGTTCTATTTAAAATGCCATTTAGAATGTAGTCATGTTTTGTTGTTCTATTTTTCTTTAATAAAAATCTTTTTAAGATTAATATTTTTTCGCTTTCCTGTAGACAACATTTACATTTTTTTTTTAAATAAAGAAAAATTAAAAATAACTAGTAAATAATTCATTGATACAACATTAAAACTAAATATAATGTACGTATTTACTAATTAAGTTATTTCCAGGTAACAATTTTATTTATCAAAGTATAATAGTTTAATAAACACTTAACTGCTTGATCAGGAACTTTATTGAGTGTACCATAGTAATTATTTTTTTTTGTCTGATAAATGAACAGTTCAATGAAAAATTTCTGTAGGTTTTTAAATAATACTTCTTATTCTGATAATCTACCTGGCCATAGTATATATATATATAAAACTACTATCATGGGAGCTAAATCTTTTACCAATAAAACTGGTTATGGAGAAATTTTCCCGTTGCTTTTGTGTTGTTGTTTTTTCAACTTCATTTGTCATGTGATAATTATAACGAATAATGCTACCACTATATCAGTGCTTTATTAGATAAAGTTTTAACTTCTCAGTTACTTTAGAACACAATTTGACAAGACGAATTATTTCTTCTCTACTCTGTTATTACAATACGATATGTGATAATTTCACTTGAAAATTCGCCCATATATGCTCTTCATGACTAAACTCGCAATCACGCAGTCTAGATCTAGCTTATTATCGAACTAAAATTCCTATGCGTATTTCTACTGTGACAGAGATCTAGAACATTCCACACACTACTAGATATTATGATGCAATAATACTCAATTAAAACAATGAGAAAACTCAAAGTTATAGTTACATGATGCAATACTTTTACATTCACCAATTCATAACTGTTGAACTACACATCATGTGATTCATAAACAGTTATGTAAACAAACCTGCGATATCCTGTCACTTCTAAAAAGAACTTAATTTAACAATCACGCAGTATAAACTATCTAAATCATAACACTCTCAATAAACTTGAATTGAAACAGTCGTGTATATCTAGCATTAGTTTTCCTTATAGTTAAGTCCTAAGCTCTTAGTTACACTACATTGATGCCTACCCTGACATGACCATGGTATTATGATAAACCAACTGCATATCAACAGTCAAGAATACTTAACTTCCAAATGTAGTAATATTAAAATCAAGTATTCATTTTACGGTTTAACATTAATTTTTTATAATGAAAGTCGTGTAGGGATGATCTATGTATAGCTGTATCATCCCTACATTCTTTTTGGCACTGCCATCCCTACATCATTTTAATTTACAAGGTGTTTTTATTACTTGTTTTGTGACGTATTTTCCCGTGACTGAAAATTAATGTAATCTACGAATGTGTGTAATAAAATATATGTGTATTGAATTTTGTTTTGCTCCATCACTTCATGCCTAATGTAGGGGTTGGCTCCCTAAAAACTGATTGTTAAGTGTACAAAGCATTGAGTATGCTATTATTGGCTGGTAATTCCTGTTTCATCCTGTATGTAAGCTTTTTAAAGGAACGTCATATTTCTGTAAGAAAGCTAACTAGTCCATTGCCTGGTTTTGTGCATCGGCAGTGGAATGTGCTAATGTATTTACCAATGAATAAGCTTTAGCCCACTTGGTGAAGTAATCGATAAGAGTCAGCATATACTGATTACCTCATTCATAATCAGAAAAGATGACCTGCTTCTTTCAAAGTTATTATGTATAATGGAGAACCAACATTGCTCTACTGGAGCTTTACCTGGCTTGACTAGACTTTTCCCTGGACACACACACAATACAGCGTTTGCTCAATGTCTCGACGTGAATGAATCAAAAATGCACTTGAAAATTAACACATATGCATGTAATACCCTGTTGGACTCCAGTACTGAAATTATGCAAAGTCTGAAGTATTTCCTGTCTGGGAGTTATGGGGACCACTAGCTGCATCACAGCTTGAGAATCATGTCTCAACACTCATAAAAGCAGTACACACAGTGCAGTATTTGCACCATTATTCAATGTCTCAAAATGAATGCATAAAAAATACTTGGATGTAATACTCTGTTGATCTCCAGTTCTTCCATCAAATTATGAAGTATTTCTTGCATGAGAGATCTGAGGAGCACTAGCTACATCACAGTGGTTATAAAAGCAGTACAAGACACATTCTTACATTCGTAACTGCTTGTACATGTTCCACAGATTATGTTGCGTTTCTCAACCTGTTGCATTTGCAATTCATTCTTGTTGCATAATAAGTAACACCTAAACTAAATTTTGATCTTTATATTGAAGTGTTATTCATGGTCTCTATCTAATAGTAAAGTCACTTGCTGTATAATTTGATGTCAGTACCAAATTATTTCCTGGGTCAAGACATTTAACAAATTGACAATTTTTCAGTAATTGGTGAGGCAGTCCTTTGTGTGTGATAGACCTGTATGATACTCTGGTAACATTTTAATACAACATGCAGTCATTGATTCAATATTTTTAAAGTTCGTGAGCCATTTCAGTGACACATGGTTCAGATGAATAGTGAACTTACGACCTTATAATATTTGACAAATACTACAATTTCAAACAGTTATTTCTTCATGAGCTGTCAATATGCCCAATTACACATTCTATCCTATGCTTGCAACAATACTATTCTAACTTTACTATTGCTTATATCAGTATTCAGTAAGAATGGACAGCCTTGTTTTATGTATGCTAACTGGAACTTCTACTAAAGCACACGTTAATGATTGAAATGCTTGGTTACAGTATTTAATCCACCTAAAATGCAGTTACGTTGTGAAGAGAGCAGATACTGGTGCAGCAAATTTCTATATATTGGTCACGAATCATTAATAATCTGACAAAATCTATGAAACTGTGGACATATCCTTTGGTTGATGTCACTTTCTGACCTATATAATCTTCACAGTTTCATGTTTAGACTCCAACTCTTCCCATCATATGATCGAGAAATTTCACTTTTGTATGATTAAGTGAACACTTCCCTTATTTTAATTTCAAGTTTGCCCTTCATATCTTCTGAAGTACCATGCCCAGGTTTTTAACAGCAGACCAAAACATGCAACATTGTCAACATAGATCAGGCATCTCTTCCATTTTAGCCCTCTCTGTGTAACATCTATTAGCTGGTTGAAAAAGGTAGGCACATTGCGTAAGATCAATTGAATGGGACAAAATCTGTAAAGATCATTTTGTAGTAAAAGCAATGTTGGACTTGCTAACTTCATCCAGTTCAACTTACCAGTATCTCGAAACCAAGTATAGAGTGCTAAATCACCAAAAGCCATTCAGTGCATTCAGAAAATCTTCTATCCAAAGAAGCAGAAAGATGTAGAAATGGATAACCCATCTAGAATCAATACAGAATCTTGGTGTATCTTCCTTCTTTCTGACAATAACTACTAGAGATAACCAAACACTTTCTAAAGCCTGTATGATTCTATCCTTTAACATTTATTATATAATTTGATATCCCTGGTACTCCAGGAATGTCAGTATGACATTGAACTGTAGTTATCTGATCCCATAAACACATTGGCATACCCAACCAGTTGAGTATCAATCTTCACCACTTGGCGTTCGCTATCCTTTTTGGTAGTAAGACAATTCTAACAGGCAGACATCATTCAACACTAGCATAACCAGTCTCCTTTGTTTGGCCATAGGTGACAATAACTAGGGATAGGGCTGGGCTATCTGATTGGTGACAGTCTAAGAGTCCTGTGTAAACCATCACTCTGTAAATTACAACATCAACCTTCAATCAGTTGTTCTGTACATACAACAATGCATAACATAAGGGGTAAAATCTGGTCAGTAGCTCTGAAGGTTTCAATCTGTGGTTCCACTTCCTCAGTTTGTGGCTGTTATAGGATCACAGTCTTGAACCCTTGTAGCATTAGTAAAAGTCCCATGTTCTTGATAAGGTTTTGCATAAACCTTACTAATTTATCATTCAGTCTTCTAACATCAGTTACAAACTCTTCCCTTTGCTCATAAATCAGTTGACTTATAGAAAATTCAATCGTTTTAAATTCAAGCTACACAAAAGATAAAAAGAATTCATGAAGATAAATCCACTTATAAACTTATGATTACTGTACCAAAATTTAACCTTACTAGCTTACTCTGTGGTATTTTCAGGTGCACTGATTAACATTCAGTAATATCTAGGGCTATCCTTTAGAGAAAAGAACCAACAATTTTGTGTTGGGGTTTATCCTGTTGCAACCATTTTTTCTTTGTGGGTATAGAAGACTGTTTAATCTAGGTATTATTAATTTATTTATTTTGTGAATTAATATTTCATTATTGTTTAGCTTTTTCATAACAAGAGAGTTAAAAGTTAATTACTTTAAAGGCGATAGTTATGACAAATTTGTTTAGTTGTGTTTGCAATATATTGTTGTCGAGGTTTAACTAATATTGTTGATGTCACATTACTCTAACCTGCAGTAATTTTATCGTTACCTTAACTGAGTGCACTGTTCATGCACTTCACAGAAATTTCCAGAGGCCTCAGTGATAAACATATAAATAACGACGACCAAACGAGCGGAAGTGAAGTAAAGTAGAAATAGAGAAAAGTTAAAAAACGTAAAGTTAGCAGGTGTGTGAGTGATTACCCATAACGGGCGATAATTTAAAAATGAGTTTCACAGTTTAATAGACATAAGAAGAAGAATTTGTCTTGGCAGAAAGTGTTCTAAAGTAATTGAACGCATCTGTGTAGATTTTGACGAAAGGGGGACAATTATTTGAAGTTCAAGGTACAACTGTGGTAACCCAAGGGATAATGTAAGTGGATTATTCACTGCGACTATTGTGATAAGAGTAGATAAAAATAATTCAGCACAGTTTCTTCCACTTGTAACTGTTCATATAGGTGTGATGGGTTATGCATGTCTATGCTATCTCCTCTACTAATGCTGGTCGAGTTTGACCTTGCTGGAAAGTAAGAAGCACCCACACTAGATAAGGGTACTTCATTTACTTGTCCCATTGCTCCTGAAGCATTTTCCTCAGCATCAGTCCTTCAGTGGAGTCATTACTTCAGGGTTAGCTTTTGCTATCGTTGAAACAACCATAGCTTCAGCTCCCACACGGTGTCCAGAGTCGGAACATTCCACGAATAGGCAGCTCACTGTATGACAAAATAGTCTGTCCACGTTTTCCTGTTGCAAACCCAGTTAATATTTTTGCAACATGTTATCCAATATTCTATCATCCCCTCTAGATTTTTAAAGTTTACTAACCATTCAATGAAGCGTAAATTACCTGAATGATGAACTTTCTACTATACAAGTAGTGGCAATAGTGTTTCATAAACACAACCACAGAAAGCAGCTCTTTTTTCATCATACAGTATCTGTTTTGGGGATCCGTGAGTGTAAAATTAACGTATGTGATTACATGCTGAACTCCGACCTGAAACTCGATAACAGTCCTTCAACTCTATTGTTATGGACCTAATGAGGATAGGATACCATTGGAGTATCCACTAAAGCAAGCTATATAGATTACAATGTCTAATCATATTCCTCACTCCAATCAAAGTGCATTTACACTTTCGTGAGAGCCGACAATGGTGCTGGTATCTTCGATGAGTTAACCACAAATTGACAATAGTATGTTGCAAAACCAAGGAAGCTGTGAACTTCTTGCTTTGACATGGGTCAATCTCTTATCATAGATATTTTAACTCCCTACACTTTGACCAAGAAACCCCACTTCTATTTGCATAAGTAAATATTTTTCTGCTTCATTTTCAAGCCTGTCTTTTGTATGCACTAGAATACCATCTTCAGGTTCTCAGATGTAGACTCAAAAGTGCAGCCAAACACCAAAACATTGACGGCATAGACGAAGAATCTCTCACTATAGGTTCTTGAATGTAAGCTCTTTCAGCCTGTCGAAAGTTGCTAGTGTATTATACAGACTGAATGGCATGACAGACTTTATATAAACTATCTCTCATGCTAAAAGAAGTCTTAGCTTTGCTTTTGTCATTCAACTTGACTTGCTACTATATGTGTTTAACCAACTGGAATCTTTTAACATGTCCAGACATTCATCTGTTTGTGATATAGAAAAAAAAAACATCATCGTGAGTTACCATGCTCATTTGTCTGAAATGTATGCAGAACCCTAGCATACATTCCTTTTTTCTGACAATCACTAATGGAGATGACCAAGCACTTTCCAAATCAATTCCACACCATCTGCTGTATTTCAATGCTTGCAACCTCCATAATGTTTCAAGGAAGCTGGTACAGTTGCTTTATCAAACTTGCATTCCTCTCTCTCTATATGATGATGATTTGTCATTGTATGGCCCAATCAAACATCTGGCCCTGCAAATACATTATCATATTCACTTACCAAGTCACTGACTTTCTTTCACTGTATTGGCTCTAGAATATTTGCACAATCATCATTCAACGTCCTCAGATGCATCAGCTTTGGTCATGATACAACAGATAAAAATATTGTATTACTGCAAGTATTTATTACCTTCACTTCACTCATCATACCATAACCATTCATGTATCCAGTTGGACAGCTGATTATCCATAATTACAAAGCAACACTGGGAATACATCCCTTGTAGGGTAGATCATTGTTCAAACCATGCTGTCTCCATTTTGAAAGGGAAACAGTTTATTTTATGCAGAGTTTCTATGAGCTCATTGCCTGACACTCAAGAAATAGGCCTTTGTTGGATTAAACCACAGAAAACCAGTTGTCTACACAAAGGTACTATTATTCTACATAAGCACGTGAGTCCACTGTTCCTGGGATCTATTTCAGCATTGATAACTTTCTCATGGAACAACAGTTTGCCCTTTGCACAGGCAAAACTGACAGACACAATCCAGAGTACTACTATCCTGAGGATGCTAATTCAAGATCTGAGATCAAAAACAACTGTTTTAATTCTATGAGTTTCTATACTAAGTTGGAAATCCACTTCTTCTCTAATATTCAGTCTATTCGCCGTTTGCGAGAAGAAAGTCGGTATTCACTGGTCATAGTGTTAGTCTCACTTGAAGGGCTTAAAAGATTGTAAGGTCTACAAGACCCTTTCTGCTCTTGTAGTTACCAGTAACTCAAGTTCTCACCCTTGTAGCTATATCAACACATACCAAGCTCTGTCCACCAAGGGATGACCACTATACTCTTTGGTGAAAGTTGTCTGCTGTTCTCTTCCATGCTGGTGGCCAAACTTGACTTGGGATCTGTCAGTTTCCCTTGAATATTTCTCACAACAGCCATCCTAGATTTACTGATTTAACAACCAGTATCGATATACTTGTCTCCTTTACAGCTCAGAAAAGTGCTGATATTGTGGGTTGGCAGGCATATGATGAGCCATCACTTTCAGCTGACAGCTCTGCCATCTTAAATATGTTGTAAAGTATAGACATTTCTTTTGCCTGTCTCCCTCTAGTCCAAAAGTTAAGCAAATGCTTCACTCTTCCTGTTCTAAATTATATCTAGGCAGAGGCATTGGCTATGGATGTGGTATGTATCCCATGGGTGGACCTTGCAGTTGTATGTATCCTTGTGATGGCACCTACTTCATGAGCGGAACTTGCTATGGCACATATCCTTTTTATGGCCTTGCTGCAGCATGTATCTTATGGCTAAAAATGCATAGTTCTGCCCCGTGTGGTTGCAATACTTTTCTGTCTGGTGAAGATGGTTGATTGTTAACCATCTGACTGGGTTTAACCTGGTGCAGTGGAGGTAAATTGGTCACAGTTTCCAACAGTGGAATTGCCACTACAGTTGTTGTTGTTACAGACTTATTTCTATACAATGGTTGTTTTGAAGTGATCACTTCAATCATTTGCAACAGACACTAGAAAGTACTTCAATGAATGTATCGACTAGGATGTCCTCCTAATTTGCAGTGGCCATTGCCAGGTATGCATTTCCATGAAATCAGTACATATTCTACATGTAGGTGGCTAGCCCCAAATTGACAATCCTCTTCTAAGCCTTGAAACTTGGCCCAATAGATCATCCAATTTTACACTGGGTCGAATTGAATTGGTGATTTGGCTCAGATACAATTATTTCTAGTCATCTTGTTGCTCCCTATCTAGTTGTTCAACGGCATCGAGGGCTGGACCATCGAAACTCATGACAAGATGTTGCACAGCTTATTCCCGAGTCTATCCATTCCAGGTAGTGACCTACCTGAAATGTTTTTGGAACTGGTCTAGGTCCTCTCTAGGTTGTACTCTTGAAAATTGTGGGCATGATCTGCTTGGACTCGCTCACAGAAACCTGTGTACTAGATTGAAGCTTTTCTTCCTCATAATCCTGGCGGATGCCAAGAGATGCAACCAATACAGTTAAAACAACTCACAGGGACTCCAACACCCCTTTGGATGGACAGTCTACAGGCCTACAGAGAAATTGATTACTCGAGGTGGCTACCATTCAGCCATGCACAACTCCATGCGTCACGAGCTACTATTGATGGCATGGGAAACCTTTCATTTCTGAAAGGTACTTCGCCCTTACTTTACCTGCTAAGGATGCAATTCTGTTTCTCGGAAGTCATCCACCATCAGCACATTCAGCCTTTGTCCACTATTTACTGATGGTATTGGTAAGAGCTGGGGCTGCTGTGCTCTGGCTGGCAACAGCTTGGAGTCTGGTAGAGACCTCCCCATATAGTCTCGAAATCACTAGGCACCATTCCATTCTGGTGAGTTTCATTTGTTTGTGCTTCACTTCTGCCAAGATCGATCCTCAGGGGTATTGTTTGCTTGAGCAGTCTTAGTGCACCATATATGAGCAAATATTCTTGAGTCAATGCTGCAGATAACCAACATAACGGGCCTTTTCGACATCAGAAAAAGTCCTATATCCACGAAAGGATTTTTTTCTAGACTCAACATCTCTTCCTTAGAACCATTTCTCGATCGTGAGTGCTTTTGCGTCCAGAAAATGCCATCGTTTTTGTAAGAAGCATTCATTTAAATTCAATAAACTTAAGAGATCGGGCAAGGACTAAAACACACACTGTCATTTCAAAATCTTTGCAATAAATTGTGATGTCACTGAACCAAAATTTTTCCTCCTCTCTACTTTTGGTATTTTCATGTAAAACCGATTTCTTAACATGTATTTGATAAATAATCTTTTTAATAATAACAGTCGTGGTCAAGAAATAATGGAAGTAATCAGTGTTTGACAACTTGACTGAGTTTTTTAAGTATGAAATAACGAGATTGAATAAATATAGATATATTAACAAACTCTTAATTGTAACAAGCAAACAGATCGCACAGTGTGCGCACTTGTTCAGATGGTATCACAATCGATTCTACTGGTGTGTGTTTACGTCTACAGCTTTCTTTCTTTTAGGATTGACGTCCATTAAATATACACAATATTCAGAGTACGATCATCTATTTACAATCTCCTAGTAGAACTGAACCAAGAAAGTGCACCTGAAGTCAACAAGTAAGTTCGGTTTCTTTGTCCATTCGATAGCATCATCTCGTGACCTTTGTTCTATCATAGCGTTGGTCAGCTGTTCAATTTATATAACGTCAATTTGGTTAGCAAATAATATCACAATGCCAATCCTTGACTCAAATACTATAGCTACAGCAATATACTCTCGGGTTAAATAGGCATCACCTACTATAGAGATCAAAGAAATAAAACAACTAGAAAAATATAATTTCAACGACTTTCTGAACCACGTGTTTATGCTAAAACTGCATACAAACTAAATAAGTTAAAAGTTTAAAAATTTCTTATGTAACTAAAGCAGGTAAAAAAAAAGATATGATTGTACATCACAGTTGACTGAAAAACGATTTTGTACACAAAACTGAAATCTAAGGTTGTCACTGTCAGTGATAAAACTTCAGAGGATGGAACTTAAGTCTTTAATATACTGTTGCGTCAGCGAAGTCACATGACTAGTGTCACGCCACGTTTCTAGAACTATCCTGTACCTTGCGAATGCTTTAGCA